GAAAGAAAAATTACTATTCACATAACGAAAATTAAAAGGTAATCTATATGATTTAGATATAAATATGACTAAAAAATTATGTGTAATAATAATATAAACGAACTACTGGTACAACGAATTTATATGCAGAAGAAAAGAAAAAAGTTGCAGAGAAATGGGAGGTAATCGAGGAATTTAACAAAGCAAATAATGTTTCATTTCATATTTAAATTTGTTTCTGTTGTTGATGTTTTTGAGGGAGTCTGGAAGTGAATTCTGAAGTTGAAGTTGTGTCTAATGCTCACATAGGACCTGACTGGTTGTGTCTAATGCTGTGAGACTTCAAGGAATTGTAGTTTTTATAAAGACTCACCTGACAAGCTGCCCATTCAGTTATGTCATAAACCGCACTATTCATACAAGCATAATAAAACCACTTAAAACCTAACATTGCCGTTTCTACCCATATATCACCCTAAAATACAAATTGAACAATTAACACATTCAACGTCAGTAGTAAATTATATGTGAAAGTTATTTGCCATAGTTATTATTACAAAGTTGCAGTGCATAAAAAAATAAAAAAATATGACATGCAACTATAACCCAATATGTATGATCATTATACCAACTTTGATCCAAATTGGCCTAGTCATCTCTGAGAAACAGCTCCAGACATATAAAAATAGGCCAATGGCCTGTTGCTCAACGGCTATTGTACAAAAGATTAGTGCTGTATATGACAAATACCCCAAAAGGCAGTGAGTGAGACAATAAAACACAATGCTAAAGTGGAAGTTTTTACAAAAATAACAAATATCCAATAAAATTAGAATCAAAAAGAGCTTAAAAAGAACTCCAGCGTGTTGAGAGAATAACATGACATGATATTTGCAATTATCTGAATTTGTAATACATGTATATACCAAGTTTTGTTGAAATATGTTGAATGGTTCTTGAAATAGCTTGAATTTCACTAGCTGATATGCAAATTATCTAATTTGCATAAATTCCACCAAAAACTAAATGTATCTGGAAACTGCCCTGACACATCTATGCACCAAATTTTATTAAAACATATTAAATGGTTCTCAAAATATCACCAAAATATCCTAAATATTGTGATGTAAATTAGGCAATTTGCATAATTTTCCACCAAAATCAATCACGTCTATACACATTTAAATATTATGGTGGTTATGTTTTCATTACAATCACAATAGACCAATCAAAGAAAACTTAGAACTCCCATGTGCTATGTGAGAATGAGAAACAGTTGACAGAACAAATGGGAAACATTACATATCTCCCTGTGAGCATATAATTTCAATATGGCATCATTGTATAATCTTCCCAAGTTTTGTCCATTTTCTGACAACTGAAGGTAATAAAAAAAAAACATGGGGCCCAGGGGCACCGAAGTCCTTTGGAATTAAGTTGAACTTGGGAAGCAGAGATACATGATTTTAACTGGTACTGTTCAAGATTCTGACTATTAATAAAATGTGTTTAA